TCCTCCCAGCTATATACTGTACTATCCTGACGGCAGCGGGCGTTATGTTTACCAGCCGGTTTATCCGCACACCCCGCCTTATTCAGAGCAAGCTCAGTAGCGGCAGTGTGGCAGCCAATGTTTTATCACCTGCCTGAAAGTCCGGCCCACTCAACGCTGATTCAAAACGGCACATCACTCGCCAGTGACAACACCTCACCCGTCACCGGATGTGTAAAACGCAGTGCCTGTGCATGCAGCAGCAGTCTGTCCGCCTGAGCATAAACCGCTGGCGTGGCGTAGAGCTCATCGCCCAGAATGGCATGTCCCCGCGCCATCATGTGTACCCGCAACTGGTGTGAACGCCCGGTCACCGGTTCCAGCTCAACCCGGCTGCAATGATTCGCTGCATCAAATGCCAACACCCGATAGCGGGTCTGCGACGGCTTGCCGATGTCATAATCCACTTTCTGGCGCGGGCGATTCGGCCAGTCGGTAATCAGTGGCAGATCAATCTCACCCCTGTCCGGCTGCGGCTGCCCCGTCACCACGGCGAGATAGCGTTTGTGTACTTTGCGCTGCTGAAACTGGATACTCAGCGCCCGCTCCAGCACCTTACTCCGTGCCAGTATCATCAGCCCGGAGGTACTCATATCCAGCCGGTGCACACTCAGAGCTTCAGGGTATTCATACCGCACCCGGCTCAGCAGACAATCCTGCTTATCCTCACCCCGTCCCGGCACCGAGAGCAGGCCCGCCGGTTTATTCACCACCAGCAGCGCCTCATCCCGGTAAATCATCTCCAAACCCCTATCCGGCGGTGGAATATAAGGAGTGTCCATAGCCCGGCTGCTACCGGCTGGCTCCGGATTCATCAGCATGTAACTCCTCCTGCACCTCAATCGCCAGCTCGGAGGCCACCTGGGTAGAGGAGCCATACAATGGCACAAAGGCACTGGTATCTTCCACGGCAATAGAGCTGGTTTGCGTCATCCGGTACAGACTGTATAAACAAATAATGCCGGCCAGCACCGCAATGAACAGGAAAAAGCCATTCGGCCCCATTTGATCAATCAGATAACCCACCAGAACCGGCCCGCCCATCGCACCGACACCGTTAATAAAAATCAAACCACCGGATGCGGACGACATCTGCTCATATTCAAGGTGATCATTGACATAGGCCAGCAGTAAAGCATACAAGGGGTTCGCCATTCCCCCCACCAATAACGCCACCACTAACAAGGCCCAGATGGAGTCACCGACAAACATACCCAGCGCACTACTGATAGCCGCGACCGCCGTGATGATAACAATCAATACCCGGCGATCCATGCGGTCTGAAAACCAGCCGATCGGAAACTGGAATAGCATACCGCCGACATAAATGGCCATGGTGAACCACGAAATTTCCAGTACCGAAAGACCACGCTCGGTTGCATAAATTGCCGCCATGCCGAACAGCGCAGAAAAAATACCACCCAATAGAAAAATACCCACACAGCCCAGGGGCGAGACCCGCATCAACTCACGCAGACTCATGGGCTCTGAGGTTTGGAACACCGGGGCGGGTGTGGTTGACAAGAGAATGGGGGCAAAAGCCAGCGAGACCAATACTGAAATCAGTACAAATAAGTTGTAACCGGCCGGATCAGAAACGTTCAGCAACAACTGACCGGCAACAATACCCACCATTTGCATCAGCACATACAGCGACAGCGCCTGACCACGGTTTTTTGAGGTCGTGGAATCATTAATCCAGCTTTCCGCCACCACGTACAAACCGGACATGCAGAAGCCGACCACCAGCCGCAGCACCCACCAGAAGAAAGGATCAATATAAACGGCATACAAAATGAAAGCAGCAGACACCAGCGAACCCAGGGCAGCAAACACACGCACATGACCAACACGCTTGAGCAAGACCGGCGTGGCCTGTGAACCACCGAGAAAACCGATGAAATAGGCAGACATAATCAGGCCCATCGCATCCGGTGTCATGCCCTCCAGCGAGCCGCGCACACCCAGCAAAGTACCCTGCAGGCCGTTACCGATCTGCAGCATCATAATGCCGAGCATCAGCGCCCAGCTGCCTCGTAAAACGGTCAACATTATTCAGATGCCCTGCAAAAAGCTGCGATTTATACGCCTGAATAGCTTGATATGCCAGTGTTTTTTAACCCCCGGAAGGATTCGGGATGAAGACGCGGACGTCATCCGGCCAATACGGGGGGAAACTTGTCCGACCCGGTCGGTTTTCTCCGGAAAATCCTGGTCTTCGCAATCAACGTTGCAAAGTCAGCTTAACCGGCACTTCCATCACCTGCTGACCTTCCCGCAATAAACGCACCGTCACCGTATCATTCAGGCGATAATTATCCAGTACTTCGGTCAGGTCACTGCCATTTTCAATCACCTGACCATCAATCGCCTGAATCATATCACCCAGCAATAAATCATCATTCATGGTCAGTTGTGTCGCCTGAATGCCGGCCTGTTCCGCCGGTGATCCCGGCTGTACCCGCAACACCAGCACACCCTGCACGTTCAGACGTTCACTGACCTGCCGGCTCACATCATCATTCATGGTAATGCCCAGAATCGGCCGCACATAACGCCCGTGCTGTACCAGCTTCGGAATCACCCGGTTGACAATATCGACCGGAATCGCAAATCCAATTCCCGCTGATGCGCCTGAAGGGCTGTAGATGGCGACATTCACGCCGATCACCCGCCCGGAGCTGTCCAGCAGCGGCCCGCCGGAATTACCGGGGTTAATGGCGGCATCAGTCTGAATCAGGTTATCCATAGTCGTGTCGGGCTCATCAATACTGCGGTCCAGCGCCGACACCACCCCGGTCGTCAAAGTGTGATCAAGCCCGAACGGATTCCCAATCGCCAGCACCTGTTGCCCGACTTTCAAATCATGGCTACTCCCGACCTTAACCGGTGGCGGAATATTCCGGTTATCACGTAATTTCAGTACCGCCAGATCATGCTCAGGACTCGCCCCCACCACATCAGCATCGAAAATACGCTGATCAGACAGACGTACTTTGGCACTGCGGTGTCCGGACACCACATGAAAATTGGTGACGATATGTCCGGCCTCATCCCAGATAAAACCGGTACCGGTACCGCTGGGGCGCTCACTGACATTGCGGGTCCACAAGTCCAGCACCCGTTGGGTGGTGGCAATATAAACCACTGACGGACTGTTTTGTTCGAATACCCGAATAGTGCGCAATTCATCACCTGAGAGTGTCGCAGCCTTACTCACCGGACGCGGCTGCACCGTTTTACTCTCAACCTGATAACTCCAGAACATACTCACAAACCAGAATAACAAGCCGCCCGATACTAACAGACCAATATTCTTAACCGACCGGTTGACCCACATCACTCACTCCTGTCAATTCATTAATCCACTTTGAACAAGGTCAGTAAAGTTCGTAGTAACTCACTTTTGCCATCATCACTAACAATCAGATACCGCTGATTCCCCAGCGCCGTCATACCCTCAAAATTATCAATAGACAGACTACTGGAAAACACCTTCAGGTTCTCAGCCTGACAAGCCCCCTCTTCTGAACATTCATCCAGATTAACACGCCGCAAGCTAATCACCAGCGGATTCGGAAACCCTGACCATGCCCGTTCCATGACTAATAAATTATTGCTTTCCGGCATCATTTCAAGGGCAGTCACCGAACTATTCTTAGCCGGGTACGCCATAAATGACCACTGCTTTTGCAACGCATAGACAGTGTGCAAGTTCTTCGGCTGACCTCTGACAGACTCTTCCGGAGCAGTCATAAAGCCATATTCCGGATGATAGGTGACTGACTCCAGGCCACTATTTGCATCTCTTAATTTATGATGGCTATTTAATGGTTC